ATAATAATAATAATAAATGCGAAGGTTACATGCAGAGGATGAGCAGAAGTTGAATCCAGGACCAGTACAGCGTTGATGAAGAACCATGATCAGCATAGGGTTGTCATGGTGTGGGGGACAAGAGGAAGTCGAGCTGGGGGAAGGAGGTGACCCTGCAGAGAGGCGGGGATGGGACCTCAGGCCTCTGCATAGCAATGGCCCTACAGCCATTGCTCCTCTACTGGAGGATGGATCCTCTACTGGTGTACTGCTGGCTCCCTTCTCGCTGACTCCCACTGGAAGGTGAATGAAAACAAGCGGCAGATCCAGCTGTGTCCCAGGAGGGACACAGCCGTGGGGAACAAAGCACAGACCCCGTGTCAGGTAGGAGAAAAACTGAATGAGAAGAAGCAAAGGAAGGGAACAGCACCAGGGACTGCACCCTGGAGCTCCAGCAGCAGCCCCAGCCCCCTGTACCTCGGGGCCGTCAGAGCCGTAGAAACACCAGCATGATCACTGTTGGGGGAGGACGTAGCTATGGGCGGGTTCTCCAGGTCTGCGTGGACAGCTGGCTGGATGACATCATCTGTTACCGGTGTGCTGGACAGAGGAAAAGAAAAAACTCAATGTTCAAAAATGCTTAGAAGCTGCAGATGTGCCCTAACAGCACATCTGTCAGCCCTCCACAGGACCTCCTTTTCCCTTTCCTGATGGAAGTGTCTGTGCTGTTCACACGGGGGTCCACAGATGACGCTGGTCCAGGAGAAGCCTGTCACTGACCAATGACAAGTTAAGTACAGAAACCAGGAGAAGAGTTTGGGAACCTTTATACTACCTTGAGAGAATAACTGTGTATCTGTTGAATCTAAAACCAGAAAGTCACGGCTTGTGTTTTTGGAGGTCTTTAGTCCCTCCCAATCAGGGACAGCAGCAGTGTGTCTGGAGACATTTTTTGCTGTCGTGTCTGGGGTGGGGGAAGAGGACAGCTATAGCATCTAAAGCACAGAGGCCACGGCCACCGCTAATGTCCTACGGTACTTGTGGCAGCCCCCTGTGGCAAATGATTATTTGTCCAGATGTCAATAATGTTGGTGTCAAGAAAGCCTGGGTTCAACTTGCATCTCATTTTCTTTTTTTTTTTTCCTCATTAACTGTTTTTTTTTCATAATTTTATTGATAAACAAATAGCAATGAGACAGTTTCAAATCAAATCGGTAGGACAGTTTCAATAATTAACACATCGCATACATTCCTCCCAGTGGTTAATTGC